ACCGTTAAATGTAAAATTGACAGGTTTGTGTGTGTTGCAAAATCCGATATGGAAATGTCAAAACAAAACGTCCTATCAGAGTTTTGTCTATGTGGGGCAACAACTGATTTACATAGCAAATGATTTTCTCTTTCTTTTCTATCAGAATTTCCCTTTTTAGCTGGGCATCAGTCATTATTACAAATGTACGTTTACAAACCTTTATAATATCAATCAAAATGAACGAATGTTTGTGGATTTCGATTTGCTCAACTATATAACCTTAAGTTAGAGAATTCTGAATTCATGCACTAGTTCAAATTTATTGTTCATAAAAAATTATTGGCCACATTAAGCAGATATCTGTTGATATTTGGAATGGTCCATCCTGAGGATCCGACCGCAGGCCCCCATGCGGTTTCTTCTACGTCACAACCTGCTGGGGGCTCTGTACACAAGCGATCATTTGCCTCGCCTTAACTGTAATAATACTCGTAAATTTATGTGTATTTATCGGATACATCAATTTCTTGTTTACTCCCATATTCATTAATTTTTAACAAATCCATGTTGTGATATCCTACTGGTTAGAAGAATGCATTGGGTTGACGCTGGAAAAATCTCTTTATTTCTTTGACATGTTTATTTTTCGTAATTCAAAACCCAAATCTTGTCTTCAGTGCACGGATCGTCCGCATTTTTCTTCCTGTGTTAGTTTGTTTTATCATTCAAATGGAAAACAGGTCTTAAACACAAGAAACAAACTGACGAGAATTCACAATTATTAATCTTCCCAAAGCAGTCTGTGAAAGGTGCCACCATCTTACAATACAATCCTATTAGTATCAATTCAACGTTGATACAACTACTGGATGAGCTGTTGACAGAGGTCATCACGTCGCGTGCCTCCTAATAAAGGTCATGACGTCAGGAGCAGTTGGCTTGTTTCTGTTGTTGGTCCTCATTTGTGCATTCACGTTAGTTGTTGAAACTAGATATTATCTATTTCATTGGGTTGTAAAGAAATTCTAGATGCATGATTTGTCACGTAAGCAATGTGCATTTTCTAATGAAACTCGAGAAAGAATTATATGATTTTATGACATATGTGGTTTTTCATTTCCACCCTTTTAGAACTGGCGCCAGGTTTTTATCACTCTCCATTAGGACAAATTTCCTCGGGTTAGTAAACATACCTGTGAATATTGAAACATCCAGAGAGAAATGTTCTCAAGTGATCTATTGATAACTTGCTCAATATGTACCCTGTAACCCTCATAAGACAATTGAACAGTTATTCCTAAAGTACAGACAATTGTGTAAAATGAATGAAACAGCTATCAACGTGTCAATGGGGACATGTTCTGTTACAGTACACGATATGTGAACCATGGACCTATACAAGGCCGACTTGTATAGATAACTTGATGTGCCCATTTAGGTACGAGATGACCACATGTCCTCCAGTTTGCTCATCTTGGTGTCACTTTTCCAATCCCCAACAAAGATTTGCTCGTTGACCTATTTATTTTCTGTTCTTGCCTCTTACTGTATTGATTAGTCACGTGACATTTGCCCTTACATAGATATGTCATGCAATGTTTCTAAAACGATCTCTGTCATGGTATCATGTCATGTATTATAGAACAGTATATATTGTTTCTCAGCTAATACAATGTCAACAACTAGCGGCGGTGACTAGCCAGTTGTCATGGTTACTGGTAGGTAGAATATCGAAATCTGAAACCGGAGTGGTACAAATGTATATCTTATGGAAAGACTTGTCTGAATAGTGATAAAGTATCTCTGGATTGTATCGTTACTAGGGTTTGTGGCCAGTAAGACATACCATCTTGTGAAGGTCGCTCTCCGTGTTAACACCACTAACATATCTCATAATTGTATCGTCCTTATGTTCACACATGCTCTGAAAGGAAATGGACACTTCTGTTTATAAGATAGTTTTGAGAGAGAGAGAGAGAGAGAGAGAGAGAGAGAAAGAGAGAGAGAGAGAGCATTTTACATATCTCATAATTGTATCGTCCTTATGTTCACACATGCTCTGAAAGAAAATGGACACTTCTGTTTATAAGATAGTTTTGAGAGAGAGAGAGAGAGAGAGAGAGAGAGAGAGAGAGAGAGAGAGAGAGCATTTTTATAAGGAACTCGAGGAAATGCTTAAAAAAAACAAAATAGAATGAAGAAAATAAGTCCTGAAAAAGAGATCCATAGAGTGGATTTTTCATTTTCATGTTTTCCTTTCTTTTTTTAATTTTGGTCAATTCTGGGATTCACGAAAGTCTGTTTGAACAATTTTGGGGTTTTCATACATGAAAAGATGCTCAAATTACAGAGTTTATTTGGTCTTTGCATATAGGTACTGTTTGTCTATGTTTTAGTGGACTGAGTGTAATCATTAAACTCGATATATGTGTTGTATTAATCTTGCATTTTCATTTTGAATAACTTGTTTCACCTGAAATTTTTATCCTTTAATAGGCAAAATCAAAATAAACTTACCTCAGATAAACAGAATCTCCCTCACACGTTCCAAAACCGGAATCAAAAAAGGATTCTGGAATGCGGTTCTTATTTTTGTGTTTTAAGTTGCCATGCTTCTCAATATTGTTTTATAAGATAAAGTTGTAAATTTTGTGTTGTGATCTAGAATCATCATTTAGTGTAGTGTTAGGTTCGGAGTTGTTTGGAACACATGCCCTCATTCAATTTAAACGATATTTTGTATTTGTTTTAACTTTCATTTGTTTTATATATATATGCCTGAAATATTACCCACAATACATCCCTCGGCCAGAAACGACTTCTCTTTAACTCGATCGGCATCAGACTAATAAACCAGAGGTCACGAATTCGAATCTTAGCGGGGGTATTGAAATAAATGATGACCTCTCTTACAATTATATCTATTTAAGTGTTTAAAAATATATGTAAAAAGTGGATTTTTTGTTTGTTTCCCTTTCACGTGATAATTGTACACCAGGTAGATTGATAGTGATCGTCTGTGTTGTCCTCAGTGCTGTATCTACAATCACATTAGCTAGGCATGTTGATCAGCCATGTATACATACTATAACGTAAAATCTTTATATACAAATATAATGTTTTGTATGCAAATTCAATGCACGTGATTTATTCATTTCTATAAAGATTAAATGTCTTGTACAAGCCCTCTCCCTATTTAATTTATTGGATGTCGACGGTATCATTTTGAATTTCTAAATCATTCTTAATTTTTAAAAGTTTATTGATTTAAGTTTTGAATGCAAACATTTGCGGTCACAATAAGACACTATTAGGTACATAATCTAATGCTTTATATCCAGTAATGTGATGAGACATATCCTTTTAAATCAATATTTTGCTGTGCGGTTAAATACTCACATCTATCGTGTAGCTAGTCTATTGTGTATCGTAACATGCATGTGTTACAACACTTCTGTAATGTCATAAAAAGTCACATCTGGATGACACAAATAGTTGTCTCGGTAGTGAACATGTACTGTCCAAGTCAAAAGGTTTCGCTTCTTCTTATCAGAAATCTGGCTCATATATAAAAAAAAAAAAATATTGCACTTGTGCTATATTCACATATTAAATTTTTAGACTTGTTTAGTTAATTCCGTATTACATCAACACTCATGTAAAACACTATATTTACAATAAAACTGAATAAAAGATATTCCTACAAAAGTTAACATGCTTTGTTCACAGTCTTTTTTGTGCAATTATTCAAATGGCGGAGTTTTATTCGACATTTACAGTAGGAGTTATCGCCCTTCCTTCACTTCTGCCCGGAGAGTTACGTATTAGTTTATATCCATATGTTATCCCAATAAGATTTTTTGTGTACAGAAGGGTGATAAATATCTACAAATTGGGAGTACACGGGAAACTGGAGAAGGTTGCCTGCTGTCAAACGGTGCTAATAATGTTGTTTTAAGTCGTGTAAAGCTTGCTGTACACGCTGCAGATCTTGTAAATATACAAACATCCCGCAGTCACGCAATGCACGCACTTACTAAAAATACATCACACTCGTCTTATATGTATTCATTTTATCACTATCAACGCTACACACTATCTCGAACTCCACGTGAGGTCACCGTAGTGACGTACACGAGGATGCACGTCCGTGTGATCGGCGACAACCCACCTGTTCTAACCTAAGATCACATAGGTTTAACAGATTATGTATGTACAACATGTAAATCTCGTCAGAGCTGCGCTTATCCTCAACATACGGTAGCACGATTAAAGATAAAACAAGAAAATTTATCTGGCTCCAATATACGTCATCAGTGCTGGATAATGAGAGTTTCGATTTTTTTTCACTATATTTCAAACATTCATATTTTGATGTTGAATATATAGAAAGGGGCTTTTATAATGGAAATCATATTCGGAGATATAAAACACCTGTTCAACAAGATGAAATATAACATTTTTTATACGAGTCAATGGATTAAGGAGCCATCGGAACAAACGCTGACGCGTTCAATCTCCCTACACCCAACTAAATCTCTCCTTAATATTGAATAAATATGGACCAGATTTTAATCATATACACAACCTCAAGGCAATGTCCTCACAGAAATGAGATATAATGGTATAATGTCCTCATATAGTGACGTGGAACAGAGAAGACGAAAATACGAGTTTGTGGGCACTATTGAGAGAGTAGAAACGTTTAATTCAATAAAAAAATGATGCTTGTATTTCGTGCAATTTCAATGCAATTCAAGTGACCGTGTGTAGGGACATGCAAACGTCCCCATAGCCGTACGAGTTTCCCCACAAGGTAGGTGATAAATGGAAAATATATCCCCATGTCTACGGTTTTACCATATATATATCGCACACACACCCTTCCCTCCCTCCGTCTTCCACCCGCCCTGTTTTAGAAAAGCTAGTATTTGCAACACCAAGCAAGTTAATATGAGAGTCGTGTTTTTCATGATTCTTTAATAACACAGTCAGTAACAGAAAACAAACACATACAATAGTGTGCTTCTATATATTGAAAATATACTTTGTAAAAACTATCTATCATAATATTCCTGAAGATAAATACAATGGCGATGATACAATGCTATATTTTTTTCATTATCTTTCGATAAATGCACAAATGGATTTGGCGTTCAGCAGTAACAGAACTTAGTGATATAGATTAATAATTTGATAAACTTCATTTCTCTATCATAGTTTGATTAAATGTTTCTAATATCAAAATACCAAATAATATATCAAATACTATTACATAGCTTAAAATCTTCCGGCTGTGATACGTGGAGACCTGGTTACCTTTCGGACCATGTCAGACCGATACATGTCTATGATAAGGTATTGTGTGGTGAAATGATTATAGTGTATAAATAGATTGGAATCCCCTATCGCAAAGGACTTTTTATATACCCTATAAGTACGCGGTATGTGTATTGTGTGGTGAAATGATTACAGTGTATAAATAGATTGGAATCCCCTATAGCAAAGGACTTTTTATATACCCTATAAGTACGCGGTATGTGTATTGTGTGGTGAAATGATTACAGTGTATAAATAGATTGGAATCCCCTAGCGGTAAGGACTTTTTATATACCCTATAAGTACGCGGTATGTGTATTGTGTGGTGAAATGATTACAGTGTACAAATAGATTGGAATCCCCTATAGCAAAGGACTTTTTATATACCCTATAAATACGCGGTATGTGTATTGTGTGGTGAAATGATTACAGTGTATAAATAGATTGGAATCCCCTATCGCTAAGGACTTTTTATATACCCTATAAGTACGCGGTATGTGTATTGTGTGGTGAAATGATTACAGTGTATAAATAGATTGGAATCCCCTATCGCAAAGGACTTTTTATATACCCTATAAGTACGCGGTATGTGTATTGTGTGGTGAAATGATTACAGTGTATAAATAGATTGGAATCCCCTATCGCTAAGGACTTTTTATATACCCTATAAGTACGCGGTATGTGTATTGTGTGGTGAAATGATTACAGTGTATAAAAAGATTGGAATCCCCTATAGCAAAGGACTTTTTATATACCCTATAAGTACGCGGTATGTGTACTGCATTTCCCCATCGATGACGTGATATTGAAATCAACATCTCAATAACATGTCCAATAACTGCACATTATTCTACTCTCAAAGAATCAAGGGACAAGATTGTGAAAATTAATGTCTCATCAGAAACTGACTATATTCGTTAAGCTTTGTTTTGACTTCATATTAACGGCAGTTAAATTACAGCGTAAGGTTGATCATGTTACAAAGCAGGCAAACAAGGGAGTAGAAGGATGTGATTCATCCTTGACAAACCAATGTATTCTGTATAATACTTTGTTGATGATATATTTTCGTAATAATAGTGTTTTCTTACCGAGTTCTGTTTGTTTTGGATGCCATATTGAGGTAAACCCTTTCAATGCAGTGGCGACACCGTTAGGTTTAATTTTAGCTAACAGGGAAATATGTCTAACACAACAGGGAAGAAATGTCCCAAGATGCTTTGAATTTTTAGAATAATTTACAAATGCATATTTAACATTCAGTTGTCTCCCTTACAACAGAAAAAACTCTCCGAAAATAATCGATCACACTGGCAAAATCTATATGAATAAAATGTTTATGATGTATTGAGGTATAACTTGATAATATGATGATTTGGAAGTACTCAAAACACACATAAGTAACGATCAGTTTATAAATAGGTGACCAAAACTACTGCTTGATGTGTCCGATATCACAGAATTCTACATATCCTGGAAACTATCACAGTTTGGGTAGTATTGCATATATATAAATATAAAAACTACGGGGATAAAAATGGTAATATAGATCATTGTAATATAGGTCATTGTGATATAGGTCATTGTAATATAGGTCATTGTAATATAGGTCATTGTAATATAGATCTTTGTGCAGCTAAGGTATAACTATGATATTCTCAATATCCACAATCGTTTCGGCTTTTATCTCATAGAATACATGTTAGCATATACTGTAAATATATCAAACTCAATGATTCAATTTTTCAAATACCACAATACGTTGTTTTCGATTGGTTGGAATCCCAATTCCTGATATCGTGCTGATGTTGTTAGTGTATATAAAATCGGACGCTGTCAGATTCTGTCTAACATGGCACGAAGCTTCACTTTCTCAGCCTCAGTACCGTCAGACACGAAATGGATCCAAAATGTAATAAAATGCCATTATTTCTAAATCTATGTCTAACTTAGTACAGACCATCACGTCAATTTCTTTGGCAGTCCAAGTCCAGAATTACACTTATCTACCAGAGCCCTATTGATAAATCTCCTTTATTTTTAACGATGCCAAAACTGTCATTGTTTTCAATTTAATAAGATACATACAAGTGATGTTTTCGTCCAAAATAACCTGTATATAGAAGTATATGATATATTTATTACATTCTGTATCGCGACGAAACGTCTTGGCGGGCTGATAAGGGTCTGAGATCTGATGCATGAAGCAACGTACATATGAATCAATTACCGATTCGAAATATGAAATCTGGCAGCGTTCGAAATCAATTTCTGAAACTTTTCCTCATAAAGAGTTTCATGTAAACTTCATCTGTATACAGTAAATGTTATCTATTCAAAATATTGTGTGATTTCAGACCATGACCAAACGGATCTATGATTGGCCGATAGTTCCAATCTTAGTTATTGTGAAGTCATAACTTGATGACGTCATATGCAAGGCCATGTCACCAAAGAATGAATTAAGGTAGAGTGAAATTATCGACAATTTAGATTTTGTATCAGTTATAGATGCTGCTGTCACGAATTCTTTTATAAGTATCGTAGTTATGTGACAAACATAATGATAGAGCTGATCATATCACTGTTTGGAGGTTTTAAAACATATGTGTTACAGATTGTCGTATTGAGATGGAGGTCGGTCTGTATCAGTCTTTGACTGTTTTGGTTGGGATTTGGTCCCGGATTTCTTTTTCTCACTACCTGTTTGTGCTGTTTTAACACTGGCTTCCTTTTTGAGTTCTTTTAAATCCTCTACGTTATCCTGCTGTATTGAGAACATCCTTTGACGGACGTATACAAATGCCTGTTTCTTTCTCGGCTTTGGAGACTTCGGCTTCGGTTGCTCTACGGCTGGAGGCTTCACGAATTTCTTGCCCGAGGAATGGCGCGGAGGAGGTGGTGGAGGCTGCTGTTGCTGCTGCTGCTGCTGCTGCTGCTGCTGGATTTTCTGACGAGGTTGTCTCTGATCGGATGCAGTCTTTTTCTTTTTAGAATTTTTGGAGAAAAGTTTCTGCATGAAGCCGGCAGGCTTTTTATCGTCTTGGTCCTCTGGTTGGAGATTGTCGGTATTCAGAGGAACCACGTCCGGTGTGGTCTGCTGTTCCGGTACGGCCATGAAAGACGCACATGGGGACAGTCTATTCGGGGGAACATTGATCCTGAGGGACGCGAAGTCAATGTTTCCGTCCGTTGAATTCTCAGATGTAGCTGACATGAAGGAGGCACCTGATCCTGAATCTGACGGAGGTGTGTTAGATTCAGTAATGGCCGGCAGAGGATTTATCGGTTGTTTGGGTTTAACTATAACCGGTTCATTCACGCTGTCTCCTTCCGCCCCAGTCTGATGAACCACGGGTATTTTACAACCCGGCGGAACACTTATCTTTCCCATAGACTTATTAGGGACCGTTGCTATCCTACCGGGAGCGGAATGAAAGCGGAGCAGAGGTAGACGGCTCGGACTGATTCGACCACTAAGTTTCGGGGATCCGTCCGAGTACTCTCTAGGTAAACTTTTTGACTTTTGTTCCAGGTCATCCATTGGTGGAGCCAATTTACCTTTTAGCGTCGTGATTGGCTGTGCTTTCCTTCCCGGCATGCTGTCATGCTTAGCATCCTTTGACTTACTAAATGATTCTGTCTGCGCTACTAGTTCCATGATGTTCTTCCGACGTTCGTCATCGGAAGAAGTATGCCGTGGTGATAAGTCTCCATCTTTGATAAAGGAATCTGTCATTAACGATCGCTCGGAAGAAGAAGTACTGTCCGACCTTTTCCAAGGGTAGTCAGGTGCTACTTTTCCAGTTGGACTTTGTAGCCTTTCGGATACATTTCGTAATTTCGAAATACAGGCAGCCATTCGCTCATCCATAAGTGACGAGTCCGTATTGGTTGCCATATCGACCGTCTCGGTTGTACATGTGGATGATACCTTGTGAGCCACATCACTAAGTGGCTTCTGTCCAAAACAAGTCTCAGCTATGTAACGCGCATGACTAAATGTACTTGTGGATTTATCGCACTTGGCCAGATCCAACGTCATAGTTCCCCTAGAGAAACTCCGCCTTACTATCGTTGACGTTTGCTTTTCAAATGTCAATTTAGGAATTGTGTTGATTCCAACGTCACAGAGCACTTTGCCATCTTTCTCTTTTTTCATGAGGTCAGACAGCTGGTCATCATCTGGGTCCTCATATTGCCACGCTGAAGAAATAACGGTCTGCGACGATGTCTCGGCTAGAGGAACAAAGTCCGTCGTAGTGCAGTCGTCGATCATTTCTATGGGGTCGCGATCATCCTCCATGGGCTCACTGGAGGCTAAGTCGAACGCAGATTCTGGTATAAGGAAGAGTTCATCACCTTCCACCTCACTCATAAGCCCAATATAGGGTAGAGATTCTGTGGATGTCGCCATATCGGTGCATTCCACATCATCTTTTTCTATTGTTTCAAGTTCCGCCGATGTAGAAACAGATTTGTCGATAAAGCAAATTTCTGAAGTCTGCGTGTTAACATCAATCAAAGGGGTGGCCGTTTGTCCGAACGAAAGCGCCATCGTCCCCCTCTCCTGTGTATTGGTCGGGGTGGTTGTGGTCGAATTGTCCATTCGCGGAACCAGCTCCTCAGACGAAATGTTTGTAGAGATGTCGGAGTTTTTTACGATTACCGTATTGGTACCGCTAGTCACAACGTCCGGCGGCTGCGTCTCTGTCCACACTGAAGATGACACTGGTTTAAGTTTCTCATACCAGTCTTCGTCAGTTGACATATTAGCGTCTTGCACTAGCACGGGGTCCGTGTTTGTTTCGTCTGTTTCCTGTGGTATATGTACAGAAGTCTGTGCGTCTTGCATTTTGACTCTCTCCGTCAGTGTCTCGTTGTCCTGTACAATTACTACGGTTTCCGTTTCACTGTCTCGATATTGCTTGGTCTCTGTATATGTTGCTTGGTCCATGGAAGTCACCATTGTGGTCTCAACTCCAGTGTCCATTGTGGCCGGACGCGTTGGCGATATACCCGTATTGACCATCACAGGCATTGGAGTGATTGTCCAGTTATCCGTGGTTGATTTCCTGGGAGTTGTCGTCTCCTTGTCACATAACAAGACAGAGGTGGTCTCCGTGCTGGCGTCCTGTACGTCACACGACACGGATGCAGGGATGTCCTGTTCACTGTTGTTAGCACTAGAACCTTTACTCTTAAATAACTTGGAAAATATACTAGTTCCTGCGTGCCACGATTTCCTATTTGGACTGGCGGAAGGCGGTTCGAGTTCATCAATTGAAACCTGCATAGTTTGGTCCCTTTGTGGTAGTGGCATCGGACTTGTGTCGGAATCCTTTGTATTTGGATTTACCTGGAATCCTTGGTCACATACTTCCAGTTTCATTGTCTCCACACTTGTTTCTGTTGTTTCACAATTATCCGTACACATTGACCGTTCTGACGTGTTGAGTGCTTCGGTCCAAGTGGCCTTGCAGTCTTGTATGATTGTGGGCATGGATGTCTCACTGTCTATCATGTTTACCCTGTTAGTACCAATGCACTGGTCAGTCTGGCCCGCGTAATCTGTACCCATTGACCGAGATACCTGGTTGACCCTAAATGTCTGGGTATCCACAGTACTCTGTTCTACGCGAGTACACGTCCCGAAACTTCGGAGTCTAGAAGGGTACGTGTATGTCGTAGCATCACAAGTTTCTACAACTGTTTTATTTTCTTCGACTGTCATCGTGGTCTTATCGCGCATCCGACGACGAAATCTTCTTCCTGGCTCATCGCAGTTGATGGGATCCAAGGCAATGGTACGCATTTCCGGTCTAGACAACGATGTGTCCTCGCATGACAGACTCCTGTTTGGCATTTGTGTCAGCATTGGGAGTGATTTGGACTTATCCTCCAATAGATTGCTTTCTACCATTGAGAGGTCCGTCTGTACCCGTTTGCTGCGTATAAGTAACCGCCTACGTCTCCTCGACTCGCGACTGTCGTTGTCAGTGGTGTTGAGGATGATGATGTCCTGTATCTTTGGCGCCTCCCCGACGAATGGTGTTGTGGTGGAGAGGTCCTCACAACACTTGGCACATATTCCCGATCCCGGCGTCCCCGGGTCACTGTACACCTGCAGACCTTTGTGAATCATGGGTATCGCCTGTGTGTTGAGCGCGACGTCTGACGACGTCACAGCTGTGGAGGTCTCCTGGTTACATGTTTGCACGGACGGTTTCACACCATTACAGATATTGTGGTCGGTTGACCGTCGTTTTCGCGTCGCAGACCGGTCCGTTTCCGCATTATTCGCATATCCGTTGGTAATGACGGACGCGTCAATGTCTCGTGTTCTTACTGGACGTTCTTTTACCGGCACAACTTCATCGTTCGAGATCATAGGATCCGTCTGCGTGTCACATGTGACAAGCTCAGGTTTTGACAATGATTTTTCCTTTGAGTTTTCACCTTTTAAATCTCCATTCGTCTGTCCTTTGACGTCCTCCTGGAATGACAGAGTGCCAAATGTGACACTGCCAGGGTTGAAATGTATGTCAATCATATCGTCAGATGGTAATTTAGGTAAGTCCGGCTCCATCAACGCATGAAGCTTGCTTTCCATTTCACGTTTTAAAAGCAACAATTCCACACCCCTATCTCTCATGATAATCTCAGTTAAGTTCGAAGCACTTTGAAGCTCATCTACGTTTTCTTGCAGCCATTCACGATGTTTGAGAAAGTCTGTAACATTTTCTCCAAAGTATTCATCAACACTTTTCAGCAATTCTCTCTCTGTTGATCGAACCTGCTGAATATAACTTATCGCTAAATCTCGTATATTTTCGCGAGTTCTCTTCATGCCGTTTTCACACCTATTGATGACCTCTATACGGTCGTTTATGTCCGTGATTCTATTTTTAGACTTATCAAGAAGACCCTGCATAGACGCTTTATATTTGACATAACCGTCGTTGAAAGAACATATATCATGGTCGCGATGCTCTTGAAACGTGCAGACAATACAGATACAGGTATCACAAGGTTCACAGTAAAAGCGCACGATCTCTTCCGGGTGAGCCTTACACTCAATATCCTTCTCCCCTTCCACGTCTATAAGACTGTGGTGCTGCGTGACTTTGGTCTCGCGGTGCAGGGTCACGCACGCTTTACACAAAAGTTTCGAACAATCGAGACACTTCGCACATGCCTCATTTGTACGTTTCCGTACAGTATGACAAATCTCACACGGTGGGATTTTTGAAGGACGTCTTCTGTCAATGATTTCTGTGAGGTTTGACAGAAGAAAGTTGTCCGGAAGTCGTCGTATTCCTCCTGTAGGAATTTCCGTTTTTCGACGACATATTGGGCACGTGACATATCTGTTGTAAAGGGAAAACCGAGAGCGTGATCCTTCCGAATCCACATGTTGCTGGAGACATTCAATACAAAACGTATGTAAACAAATTAATGTTTTGGGGTTCTTAAATGGTTCAAAACAAATTTTACAGTGAAGAAACTGATCACTGATCTCTCGCATCAATTTATCGCCGGTAGCCATCATTGAGTTGGTGTATACTCTTACATTAACACACTATTCTCATCGCGAGGGAATATACAACGGTTATGAATAAAGATCAATCAGACGCCCGTTTTACATGTTGGCACCCTGGGTAATATTTTCTCCATGGTGGGCGATGGCAAGCTGATTTATGACACAACTGGTGTATATCCCAAACTTATCTTGTCTCGGGGAAAAAACTTTCCGGCCGCATGTTAATAACCGTCGCAGTAGGATGCCAACTACTCACAGTGGCTCACCATCTCACACGACATCTTCATTATCATCTTAAACTCGTCTATCCAATTTTAAACATCATGACGTCAGCACGTATTCAATTTCAAAAATATTGGAATCGTACAAAAGATGTTGATGTTGGAAAACACACCATTCCTACTGTTTCACGTGTTTGTATAATACACAAGGCATCCCCTTATCACCAGGACGTACTGAGGATGATAACGTTCACAACGGGAATGAAAAAATCTCCGGTTTCCTCCAATCATATATCTTTAGATTCACGTGCACTGGTTATCATGTCTTCATCTTGATATAGCACTTTACAAATGTGTTCACACATTTCTAGGGCTAAGTAATTTCCAATGCGTTTTGCAGGTTTGTACTTTTTTGTGTGTGTGTTGTAACGGTAGTCTGTATGATGAGTATGATGTACACTACGCTGTCTATTAACTCCGCCGCGGTACAGAAGAGTTCTCCCAAAGGTCACCAACTCCGCTTGACACAAACTAATGTCAAGGTCGCAAAGTCTATCCTCTTGTGATGGAACCCATAAAAATGTTCACCATTCGCTTGTACCTGAAAGTAAAACAATAATCACAGTTTTAATATGTTAATCTGTTTAGTAGTTTAGTAACACATCCAGTGTTTAAATGAATGCTAATATTATTTACCATTAAAATATAGTTGTTGACAATCTGAATAATTACTGTCATTAGAAACATGAAATATATATTTCAACAGTCCCAAATCTATCATCAATGTCTAAAGATGGTTTAATGAAAATCCGAATGAGTAATCTCATTGTTTACATCGTTAATTTTGAGACGCTATAATGTCTTTGTTAAATGTTGTAGAATTCTATAGTTCACAAACGCTTTCTATTATTTAGTGATAGCTTATAAAACTATGGTTGACGCGTGAAATCAATATTATTTCAATCGATTATCTACAGATCGACAATTAAACACACCTAGCTTCAGTGCCAGGTACTGGACCACAGTGTCCACTACTAACTTCAGTGTCAGGTACTGGACCACAGTGTCCACTACTAACTTCAGTGTCAGGTACTGGACCACAGTGTCCACTACTAACTTCAGTGTCAGGTACTGGACCACAGTGTCCACTACTAACTTCAGTGTCAGGTACTGGACCACAGTGTCCACTACTAACTTCAGTGCCAGGTACTGGACCACAGTGTCCACTACTAATTTCAGTGTCAGGTACTGGACCACAGTGTCCACTACTAACTTCAGTGCCAGGTACTGGACCACAGTGTCCACTACTAATTTCAGTGTCAGGTACTGGACCATAGTGTCCACTCCCAGCTTCAGTGCCAGGCACTGGACCATAGTGTCCACACCTAGCTTCAGTGCCAGGTACTGGACCATAGTGTCGATATATAAAAAAAACTCTTTAATTCCAATACTTACAGCCCTACCACTACTCCTATTCCAATATCATGTTATAACTCTCATTCCAATGTCTGATTGTTGCCAATTTATCCTCGCTCAATTTTAGAAAGAAGAAAAAAAATAAAACCCTAACACTTTTTAAGTCGTAAAATGTGTGAAAGGACATCAAAAACAGTCACGGACGATTAACTGACAACGAACGTCGATAAAGTTTGTCTTACTGACGAAGTGGCCGAGTTAGTCATATGACAGCTGTGTGTCTTACCTCGGACTATCGTCAGTCTAACAGACGCCCAGTCATCTTAGTTTACATAGCAGTGTTAACATCTGTTCTACATGATTTTCTAACAATATCCAGTCACCAACCACAATACAAAGCAGCAAGCTATAGTGACTGGTGCGTTTTATTGTGTGTCGCAAATATTACATTTCCTTGAGAAATTCCATGAAGATGGTCTGTCTCCGGAAGCTGAACATGCCTTTGGTGTTCAGGTTTTAGTGTTCTGGTTTTGGTAGTAACGGTTAGGGTTTGTTTAGTTGCTTTGATAATCCTAAATCAACATCTATGGAAAACAAATTAAGATAAGTATGACCCGAAATTAAGGAAGTAAGGAAGCGTGACCAATGTGTAAGCAATTTGGAGGTTTGAGCGCTTTATCGTTGTATTGTAGGTCGGTACCACTGTTTACACGTGAGGAACACGAAATGCACGGACACTGATATACCACTAGTTTATAAATAGTGATGAGTAAGAGATATCTAGAAACACCTCCGTTAGGTACACGGGTCCTTGATGATGTAGCTAGCGGCGAAAGCCTTGTTTCCAAGGCGATGGTGCTAACATCCCCGCCAATTTTAATAATAATAATATAGAGACATACTTTATGATGGTATTTTCTACATCGGTAACCGATACTTAACCCCCTCTCGATACCTTGTCTGTTTTAGCCCCTCCCAGCCACAAACTCCATGGGACGTTTTTGATGTTGCTATCATCTGTATTTTTTACAGTTATACCCTATCAGAATGAAATTAAACATAGCTGGTTACACCTTGGCACCCTACACAACGACACCTATCCTTTCTCTTATATAACAGCTCTGAATTTAGCACAGCTTTCTTCTTTGCCAACACTTAAGTATGTTTTCTATCAAACAATTTTTATTTTAAGAATCCTATGACCACCTTGCAACGGTGCATTTTGTTAACAATACTCTTGTTTATCAGGTCTGTATTGTCGGATCTGTATGTATTGTCTGGTCTGTATGTATTGTCAGGTCTGTATTGTCAGGTCTGTATGTATTGTCAGGTCTGTATTGTCTAATCTGTGTGTACTGTCAGGTCTATATGTATCGTAAGGTCTGTATGTATTGTAAGGTCTGTATTGTCTGATATGTATGTATTGTCAGATCTGTATGCATTTTCTGGTCTGTATGTATTGTCAGATCTGTATGCATTGTCTGGTCTGTATGTATTGTCAGGTCTGAATGTATTGTCAGGTCTGTATGTATTGTCAGGTCTGAATGTATTGTCAGATCTGTATGTATTTTCTGGTCTGTATGTATTGTTTGGTCTGCATGTATTTTCTGGTCTGTATGTATTGTCAGATCTGTATGTATTGTAAGGTCTGTATGTATTGTCAGGTCTGTATGTATTGTAAGGTCTGTATGTATTGTAAGATCTGTATGTATTTTCTGGTCTGTATGTATTGTCAGATCTGTATGTATTGTATGGTCTGTATGTATTGTAAGGTCTGTATGTATTGTAAGATCTGTATGTATTTTCTGGTCTGTGTGTATTGTCAGGTCTGTATGTATTGTCAGGTCTGTATTGTCTAATCTGTGTGTACTTTCAGGTCTATATGTATCGTAAGGTCTGTATGTATTGTAAGGTCTGTATGTATTGTCTGGTCTGTATTGTACTTTTTCCGTCCAATATGTCCACATACTACATATTTACTGAAATAACCTTAATCTTGAGATGTGCTATAATGACAGTAGTATCATTTATTGGAACGAAATGTAAGAAAATCAGAAAAGGGATTTACATTAAACAGGAAGATGGTGACGTCACATTCCAATCCTAACCAGAAACCATGACACATTTGTAAACAGTTTTGTCATGAATTGTTCATATAGGGTATCTCACTCGATCTTTGATGATGGAGATTTTATTTTAAAATCCCCACTGTCATCCTTGTTGATACATCTAGAACATCGACTTTTAATGGCGATACGAGACCTAATTACACCTGATATAGACGGAATCAGATACGAGACCTAATTACACCTGATATAGACGGAATCAGAACAACACAGAATAAATAGCGCCCGACAGACGGACTTGTCCCTTCAAAGTTATTTATATCTCACGCATTTTGATGTTTTTGAATAATCGGACACATTTGGAAATGATAATGACCAGATCACACAAACACCGGCGTATCACAGGCTACATCCGTTCTCGGCGCCATCTTTACAAGTCGTTTCGATATTCTGATTCATGAATACTTTGTAAGAGGGACTCTCATTAATTACGGAGCATGTAACACCCTCCCTTTCGCTTTCTATGTTTCCATTGAAACATGCTTTGGCAGTTTTTGTTTTGTGAGACAAACATGTGTGTTGTTATATTATGTGCCAACACAAAGAAATATACTTATATCGTTTTGTTGATTTTGGCAGTAAAATCGTTTGTGATGTCCGTCTCTGTATATATGATCCCTTAATCTGTTTCTTGGTCTTACAATAGAGCTACGTAAGGAGAAACATGTTTTAACGTGCATCATTTCTCTTAACTTAACCCCCAAACAGAAGTGCTCTATCGCAATATTTCTTGGGTGCTGTTTAGGTGTCAGTAAATACAGAAAATTGTAAACAAATATTTTATGTGAAAATTAATTTTTAAAAAAAGGTAATTCAACTCACCTTTGAAGACCTTTTGGTGAAATCAATAGAATTTTGCCTAGTATAGTTACATCCTGAATTTTGCCAAAATGGCGGCTATTTATAACGTTACAAAATTATGTGACGTCATAATGCATGATAGAACGAAATTGCGGGTAAATTTGTGATCACGTGACAAGATAAAGGGTATAAACAGCAGATTTATGACACATTGTATCGAAGAAAATATATTTAATTCATTGGATGAAAGTAATTAATGTCTTGTACAATATGGATGTTTATGTTCTCTGGGATTGGAAACAATGTTAAAATGTACAAAATACAACTAAAGAACATTACAAACGTCTTAAACAGAAAAACTGGGTGAATATAAAGACAAAGATTCCAGTTTCTTCAAGTGTTTCAAACATTTTTGCACATACGAGTAACGAGTGCAAAGCATTCTTAACGTTACGTATGGAGTAATTGCGAGGGAGAGAGGCGGCAAACGTGACCATCTACTAGTGAAAAGGATACATGATGGACACTATTACCTACCTAAGAAATCTTTACGATGAACATTTTCAAACGAAAACGCGTATATCACATCAGTCCAGCATTTAGATACGAGAAAAGTATCACGGTAACTTTAAGCATGAAATATATGTCGACGGTGTAATTTCATTAAGACTTACACAGACATTGTGACACAGTAAAACGTCCAGTACAAACCAAGATCTGTCTCACAGGAGACATTGCCACACAGTAAAACATCCAGTACAAACCTAGATCTGTCTCACAGGAGACATTGCGACACAGTAAAACATCCAGTACAAAACCTAGATCTGTCTCACAGGAGACATTGCCACACAGTAAAACATCCAGTACAAACCTAGATCTGTCTCACAGGAGACATTGCCACACAGTAAAACATCCAGTACAAACCTAGATCTGTCTCACAGGAGACATTGCCACACAGTAAAACATCCAGTACAAACCTAGATCTGTCTCACAGGAGACATTGCCACACAGTAAAACATCCAGTACAAACCTAGATCTGTCTCACAGGAGACATTGCCACACAGTAAAACATCCAGTACAAACCTAGATCTGTCTCACAGGAGACATTGCCACACAGTAAAACATCCAGTACAAACCTAGATCTGTCTCACAGGAGACATTGCGACACAGTAAAACATCCAGTACAAAACCTAGATCTGTCTCACAGGAGACATTGCCACACAGTAAAACATCCAGTACAAACCTAGATCTGTCTCACAGGAGACATTGCGACACAGTAAAACAGCCGGTACAAACCTAGATCTGTCTCACAGGAGACATTGCGACACAGTAAAACATCCAGTACAAAACCTAGATCTGTCTCACAGGAGACATTGCGACACAGTAAAACATCCAGTACAAACTTAGACCTGTCTCACAGGAGACATTGCGACACAGTAAAACATCCAGCACAAACTTAGATCTGTCCAACAGGAGACATTGCGACACAGTAAAACATTCAGTACAAACCTAGATCTGTGCGACAGTAATCGAGAAATAGGGTATAGCAGATTTCTGAGCTGAAATATACAGATTATCTATGTTGGTCCCGCCAGATAAACCTACATATAGTTAATCTCTGCTGGCCAGGTTTTATGATTTTGAGGTCTGTAATCAGAGCTATTTGAGTCAATTTCTTATCCAACAAGGCCCCAGTGTCTAGTTCCTAACCGACAAAAAAAAACAAACATAAATTTTCGTCATAACTGTCACACTTTAATCTTCATCAGTCATATACTAAAAAGTGTTGGTTATCTTCAGTTAGCCAGCTGTTGAGAGGACGTTACGCCCTAAACAAACCTATTTGAAACAATCGTATCCTGTCAATAGCGGGACAGATGACTGACTTACCTGTACAGTATCATAACACATCTCGTTGTTGTATACCTACAGCCATCACTATGGAACATTCATATAACACTTTTATCACGTCCTCTCTACTTTGGTCACGTGGTAGGTCGCCGAAGGGACCAAAGTTGGCATCTGTTGGGTATAGCGAAAGTCCAACAAAATGCCCGTCACCTGTTTCGCATGGACAGGTAATTCCTGAACCGACAAACCGTTATCGGGTCACCAGAAGATAGGTCCTATTGTTCTTCAACAGTATGTGGTAGACGGACAGAATTTTTGGCCGCATTACAGACAATCGTTAGCAAGCGGTACCTGATACTGTCTTACCACGGAAACTCTGTCTGGGGAGGCGTTGAAACAAACTGATCAATGGAACAGCCCAGAATGTCTGTCAGGGGAGGTGTTTGAGTAGACTGATCAATAGAACAGCCAAAGAAGTGTCATTAATTCCGTTACGGACTGAGTACCAGACAATTGAATCCAGTACCGACCAACTTTCACTGTTCAGAAATCTTATCTGGTACAATATTGAATGTTTGCTAAAATATTCATATCCCCTGCCTATTTTGGGAATGGCTGGTAGTCTAGGTGTTCGAAGGTAAAGGTCCGGAAACTTTGGATACAACCTAGGCATGTATCCTGTTACACAAATATATGAAGTCAAAGGAAAAGTCTGTCGACAGAAACAGGATCAAAGAGGTCAATTTCGCTCATCTTTCACCAAGGTAGTCCGGCCAATTTTCACTTTACACGGTATTCCGGACATAATTTTCACGATGTATAAATGTAACACGTAGACGATGCAAGACTGCTGTCGGTGATGATCAAACACACTGCTGTCTGTGTAGTATCAGCTCCTGTGTACTATCACGGTATACAAGTTCATAAACAATAAACAAAATTATACATAGCATGTGCACGTGCTGCTCAGGTCAGGGACATATGATTATGTATTGTTATATAATTCTAGTCCTCCGTTGGGTTAAGATTTATTGAATATTTCGTTCAGTACCAGATTAAGCTGCTGCCATTCCACTAAAGTTGAAACCTTGCCAGATGTCATAAAATGTTATTAAGACCTATGTTTCCTTGATATATATGTTTGTATAAAATCAATATATTGTACTTTATACATCGATCTAGACTGTTTGTTACTGTTATAAAACAATATTGCTCTCTGAATGGAATAATAGTTCGTGTACCAGCCGCATCACTGAAACGCTCCTAGTGTAAGTTTCCCATTGAAGTTGACAAGCTCTTGAAAGATCTTGATCTACAATAGTGAACTAATCTCAAAGGTCATCTGCTAGTTGCTAGGGTCACGTGAAAGTTCAACTAAGTTGTTGCTGAATGTATTGCACGTGGAAATAATTGCTGAATGGACGTGTTCCTTATGAGAGATATTCGTCTGAATCGTAACAATTATGTAAAGCTGGTGAGATAGCGCCTGTGCTGGCACTCATAGCCTGGGGCTATACACAACGTACACGACTTATCATTCACGCTAGCGACAAAAGAGAGCTGATATAGGGAAACAATACTCTTCATTTATATATTGTATAACTTTTTTAAGAGTACTCAAGATCAAATTCCAATCACAAGTCTACATCCCACCGATAGCATACAAAATGATCTCCATTTATTATAGATAATCGACAAACGGAAATGGATACCACGTGTAGTTATAAGCATCAAAACATTTGGGAAATTGAGCGCTGACTGAACACGTGCTGTTGTCACGATATATTCTGAGTACAGTATACACAATGTCTGATAAACCCCCGTAATTAAAAGCAGGTCAGTAACAGTCAATGCAGTCATTGGGTACAGGGGATTTTATAACAATACAATAATTGATATGTGCTAGGAAAATACACTTAACTTCCAGGAGACTTCTCCAATCACAAACTGATATCGCTCATATTGTGACGTCATCGCAACAGACCTATCAAAAATCACTTAATGTCGAGGGGGAGATTTAAACATAAGTGTACTCATACATTTTACTACAACTTCCATTTGATTTTATCTGTAAAGTTGTAACTGTTTAGCTGTTTGAGATGTTAAAGGACTATTTTCATAATTTTGTTTTTATCATTTTCAAAGTGAGCTTTGAAAATGTTAAGTTTAATTTTAGCAGGAGATATTAAAGCTTGGTAGCTACTTAAGAGTAACGGTGTGGCACTACATCTGATTTCGCGACTTTTATTATAGATAGCGCTAAAATCTCCTAGCTGAGCTATAGACCTATGTAAAGCATAGTAATATTTATATACATTGAAGTATGATAGTTAATTTACCTAACGTTATATACGTCTGCGCCTAACTTTAGTATCAAATAAAACATAAACTTCTTCTTGCTTATATATAATATATATCACGTGATCTTAAATATGTTTTTACTTCATATAAGATTTCATGAAACGAATCTTTGGAAAGTTATTTTATTGTTTAATTGACAATAAAAAAAATCTGACTGTACTGAGCACGTGTACAATACATTGGTAGCATACGACCAGACTACAACAGAGTGCAAACACGTGCGTTGCTATAGCTTTATAAATGTAGCGAATACGTTGACCTTCGTTGGCAATACAGATAAACCTGTTGTTTATCTTAAATAATGTCGATAAATATATATATAATCTTTATCTTATGTTAGAACCGATATAGGTATTTAACTTTTCTTTTTATCTTAAATTAGTGTCAATAAAGATGGACAACCTGTTGTTTATCTTATGTTAATGTCAATAAAGATAGACAACCTATTATTTATCCTTAATAGAGTCGAAAAAATTAATCTAACCTGCATATAGTTTACCTTAGTTAGTGTCGATAAATTAATTCAACCTGCTATTTATCTCATGTTAGTGTCAATAAATAGATAACCTGTTGTTTATGTAAGAGTTTCCTTATTTAGAGTCAGTAAATTTCTTTAACCAGCTGTTTATCTGATGTAAGAGTCGATAATGATGCATATCCTGTTGTTTACATTTCTTAAACGTCTACAGATTTTCTTCTTCTGGTTTTTCATTAAACAGACCAAACATATCAAACGACATTTATGAAAAATCGAAAAGATAAAAGCCCCGGGAATGCAATATAAGTTAGAGTCAAAAGAAATATTTCCAAGATCCATTAAAACTCGTATGTATTATAAGCGCCACCCCTGTATTGCAGTATTAAACGTAAAATATATTATACATAAACATTTCATCGAAATTACGTTAAAAGTGTGAAATACTATTTAGAGATATTGAGGATTGATAACTTGGTTATGAATGAAATAAAATATGCATAGTGCTTTACTCTCTTCAAACGCAATGGAGACACCGGAAGAGTTCTCCGTCCGTAAAAATTATTGGAACTTTGGACCAATATCTATCAGGTACAGATGTATAGAGTAACTACAGACTCTGGTAAACAGACACGAGCTACTAATTGTTAACTGTATCAGTTACTGACTTCAGCAATACAATCAAGTCCAAGAAAGGCATACTTACGAGGTAACGAGAGACTGCACACCAGATATAAGTTTTCGTTATATCTTTTCACAAAGAATGGTTTTTTATCCTGTTCACAAGCAAGTAATGTAATCCTGACACAAACTAGGGCAATACTTCCTGATAGTTATTCCAACATACACATCAACAACACTCCACACATATGTCTGCTTCAGAGCCAGTGGTGCACCTCATACGTTGCTACATCAACGTCTATTGGGATGACTAAGCTTGTCATTGGCATCCTACCATTGTCATGGCAACAGCGGGACGCTATGTACCTTCAGATAGGTACAACGATCTTAGTAAGAGATCAGAGCGTGCGCCTTAACATAATGCTCCACCAAAAACGTGTGTGTGTATGAATGGGACTTAATGATAGTTGGCGGAAGGATGCCATTTAGATCAAGGAGTGAAATGTCAGGTAGAATTGACACATCGTCTAGAAGTATCTGAACTTGGCGGGGTTATCAAGCGTGCCTGAGATCCCGAGTTGAGATTGATAGAGTTGAAGATACGGAGGTATGGTGAATGTATCTACATGTAGGGAATGGCTGCAGCTCTGCGGAGCAAACGTACGTCACAGACCCACCAACCTCGTCACCTGGGGAGGTGAAGAGCGAAGCACCTACGGAAATGAGCATACATTTAACGTATCGAAACACCGACGCCAGTTCCCTAACTGCTGGTTAAAAGCCGACGATTAACAAGATTTTTAGGTACATCCATCTGATGTATCTTATAAGTCAGCCCGTCCATTGTCGCCTTGATTTCAGGAGAGTTAATTATCATACGCGAGCGTGCAGATTCGTCTCAACTAATTCCAGACGTCAGCCCTTAATCAAAGCAACAAACGAATGCAACATTTGCGATTATCGTGTTAAAGTAGCGATTTTTTTCAGTAATTGGTTATAGTCGGAAATATATCCTATTTTATTGACAGAAACAATTTGGATACATAACAAATTCAACTAAAAGAAACAGACACGCCTTTTTCATTTCCCTTCGTTTATTTTCCATTAGACAAAACGTATATACGTTAAAAAACCTGTCGGCAAAGGTAGACAACTCATTACCACAAAATAATGTCGTTGAAATTGGTATGACGATACACTGATTATTATTGATTAATTCAGTAATTATTAACTGTGTAGATATGAAATCGTTCGTAAGTAATGTCGACGTTTCAGTCAGCTGACGTATTCACCGCGAACAGTGGCCATACTGACAGATCGACACGGCAGATACAAAATAGTCTGTCAGCGGTGTCGAGATACGAAACGATCCAGGGGTATTCGCCGTGATTATACACGGGGAATTCAAACAGATATAGTGACGTAAATTGTTGTGCAACCTATAAATAAATATCATGAGCAGACTAATGTTACATCACATGGGAGGAGAATCTTGATGTGGACAGGTAGACGTGTGAAATCCGGATTCTAAATCCAGGAATGTTGCCAGAGTTAGAATCGTAAAGAAAACATATCGATGATGCAGATTCGTGTATCATTTTAAACAGGCGCGAGTCTGTTTGTGTGCTCAATATGGATATTGTCGAGGCGAGCGCATTACACGTTAAATTTAGATAAAATGGACAGGAATTCAACTTTCGAATATCCCAATTATTTCCTATAAAACGTTGCACTCGGAAATAAAAGCACTTGCGCATTAACTGCACCGAGGGACCTGGCTCGGTTCTATAGAGAGGAGAAAGTTAGGGTTTAGGTTACAGGCGTGGATAAAGGGGAGG